TTTGAGGATGTGTACTAATATTCCTGACCGTTTCTATGAAGGCTGATGGAAAATGCAATGTGATATCATGATTGCATTTAGTCTGCTTTCTTTAAGTCTCTATATGTAATTGAACTGTGATGTATGAAAGCTTGATTGACCACTTTCTGCATTCAACACAGCATAGCTGATCCAAGCAATCTGTGCTGGAGTCTGCTAAGTAGCATTCATTTCTGGTCATTTTATTCCCTGGTAGACAAAGCCATTGACCTTGTCCTCAGAATGAAAAGCTGAGACCCAATGCCTTTATATTGTTTGTATAGGCCAATGAGGTCAGTCAGTCAAGCATATAACATAAAAAGGAATAGGAATTTATATAAGGGAATAAGGTCAGGCAATAAGGGAAAAAAGGACTGGCTTAAGGTATAGCCTGGGAGGTCATTATAACCATTTTTAACTAAATATAGGGGACTAAACGTCACAGTACCATTGTGTTCCAAAGCAATTTATAGTTGGAACTATGGTTTACTCTGGTTTACCTTTGCTGGGCAATGTGGCATGGAGGCTTGTGTGAATGAATATAGAATTACCAAGGATATCAGATTTATGGGAACCAGAAACAAGTAAAATAAGTTGTTCAAATGTAATTGTTTTCTATGTTAATATACGTCATCACTAAGCTGAACCAGATTTCAGTCTTATAAGTATAAATTTAGATGTGAAAACTCAGTGGTTTATATCTATCTCTTCTTTTAGGGAATGAATACATTAAATTAATATTCTGCCTGTCTTTTTTGGGTACTTAAATACAGGCCAGTCTAAATAAATTCCATTATGAACGTTTTATTTTGTTAGTTGTTTGGTTTTTAGACAACTCAGGATGACCTAATACTTGATATATAGTTGAGACTGACATTGAGCACCCGATCCTCCTGTCTCTACCAGATCATTAGATAATAAACACAGGCTACCATACTCTACCCATTATGAATGTTTTGAAGAATGATTCAGATGATCTCTCTAGTACTTACATTTTGCTATTAGTTCTATTTTTTGAGGTCATTCTTTCATTGCCCAAACTAGACATGTTTGTCTACAGATAAGCTAGTTGTTGCCATTTTATTGATATTGTTGAGAAATAAAAGAATCAAGATAATACTAATATATTAAGATTAAGTTTCAAATATAAATAAAAATTAGGTGGCATTTATCTGTCTATACATCATTAGATATGTAGTGAAAGTCATGTGATCTACAACATTGAGCATGACAGATCCATATCCTCAATGCTGATCTCCAATGACTAAAAGAAATGATTAAAGAAAATAAGATATAAAAATATATGGTAACAGTAGAGACTGCAAAAGCAAGCTGTGACTCCCCTCAGTAAACAGGTGACAGGGGTTGTTGATGTGAACTACACATGGAAGAAATGCAAGAAGGTGAAACATATTTTAAGTTTTCAATGTGTATAAAAATACCAAAAATTTCCCCTGGAATTGCTTTCTCTTTGAAGTAATTGAAAGACACAAAGTGGATTGTTTATCATGAACTAGACAATTACTGAAGTACAGGAACATTAGCGTTGTAAAGAGAGAGAAAAAAAAACTCAATCCAGTCATTGTGGTGGTTTGAGTAAGAATGGCCCCCACAGGCTCCTGTATTTGAATACTTGGTCACCAGGGAGTGGAATTGTTTGAAAGGATTGCAAGGATTAGGAGGTGTAGCCTTTTGAAGGAAGTGTGTCACTGGAGGTGGGCTTTGAGGTTTCAAAAGGTCATGTCTCTCTCTCTCTCTCTCTCTCTCTCTCTCTCTCTCTCTCTCTCTCTCTCTCTCCCTCTCTGACATGTAAATCAGGGTGCAGAACTCTTTGTTAGTTTTAGAGAAACATGTCCTCTTGCATGCTGTCATGGTCCCTGCCATGATGATAATGCACAAAGCCTCTGAACCTGTAATCAAGCCTTCCAATTAACTGTTTTCTTTAAATTAGAGTTGCCTTGGTCAAGATGTCTCTTCATAGGAGAGTGACTAAGAGTCCAGCACTGAGATACATTCTGATAAACTAATTTAAGAACACAGGATTGTTCTTCTAAAAGCAGTCACTTGAAAGATGTCAGAAGGTTCAAGGTCATCTCTAACAGGCAGTTCATAGCAGGTGATAGAACAAATCATAGTGACCTCTCCTTATGCAGATTTGACTGTTTTTCTATAATTAGCAGAACTATTGCTCAGAGCATTAAGTATGAACATAAATTGAAGTTTCTGTCCTACCAGCAACTCCCAAATACCCAGCAGCTGCTTCCCAAATTACCACACATAGGCTTATATTAATTATAAATGCTCAGCCAGTAGCTCTGGCTCATTACTAACTAGCTCTTACACTTAAATTGACCCATAATTCTTATCTATGTTTAATCATGTGACTTGGTACCTTTTCATGGTATGGCATTCTCATCTTGTTTACTCTCCATCTGGCTTGTGACTCCTGATTCCAACCCTTCCTCTTCCCAGCATTCTTAGTTTGGTGCCCAGCCTGTATTTCCTGCCTGGCTATTAGCCAATCAGCATTTTTATTAAACCAATTTGAGTGACAAATCTTTACAGCATATAAGAGGATTGTTCCACAGCATATGTAAATTATTTTAGACTTTCAATGGAGACTTCAATTTTAGATGCTGTAAGATGATACAGTGGGTATGACCACTTGCTATACAAGCATGAGAACCTGAACTTGAATCCCCAGCACCCATGTAAAAATGTAGATTGGCCATGTGCTTTATGCATGTGAAAGGTTGAGACAAGATCACTCGGCTCCACCAGCCTAGTTCCCCATTTGGGGAAAGGCCCTGTCTCAGGGAAATAAGGCAGCAAGTGACAGAACAGGACATCAAATATTCTCACATATACTAGCACATATGCAGAAAATGCATATATCACACTCACTCGAACAGAATCATGTTTGTTTTGAGACAGGGTATCTATACCAGACTGGTTTTGAATGCAGGAAGATCTACATATCTCTGTCTCAGAAGTATTAGAATGAAAGGTAAGTGCCACACACACAGCTATAATTTTAATTTAGACTCCAAAGAGTTTGCTTTCTACTAAAATCTCTACTGAGGACTTCAAGATAAGTAAAGACAAAGAAAAAAATCTTGAAAATGACATTTTAATAACTAGGAAGGTTAGTGGGTGATAGATTTACTCTGATATGTTAAGAACAGGTGACACATTGGCATAATTGGACAGGAAAATTTGACTTGATTCTGGGAAGGTGACACGTGTTGAAATGGGCGTAAACAGTCATCCAGAAAAAAAATGATCTTGGAGGTAAGAAATTAGAATAAAGCAGGAATTGTGGACTGCATGTACCATTCACTCTCAGTCTCCTGACTTTTATAAATAATTGCAGGGATAGCTTCACCGTCATTAGTCAGGAGCTGCAGAATGTCAGAAAAGATAAAGGAACAGCTTTATGGTGAGGGATGGATGTAATTACAGTTATTATCACAGAGAAAATGAGGCAGAACAAGTTTAAAAGAATGAAAATAAGATCAAGGATCAATTTAAAATACATTCTTATCTGGCTGTAAATATCATACTGTATCTTTGAAAAAAATTTAATCACACATTTAGATAGATGCACTTAATATTTTAAAATTCCCTAATCCATTGCTGCTCAGAAAAAAAAGCTTCAAAATGGAGACCCAAATTCATTACACTTAATCCTCATAGGCATAGGTAGATGTTAATATTTATGTCTCATTTTTTTACACATGAAATTGGAATAATAATCTCCTTTTCCTTTTTAGACAGTACAGAGTCCATAAAGCTGGGACTTCAGTTCCAATCTCTTTCCAGGTTCTTGGTCTATCTTCCAGGAAAAACAAAAAGAACATCGCACACCACTAACCACCTTCCAGCCCTACAGAACAAAATAAATTACAATTCAATTAAAAACTTGTTCACAAAAGTCATATATAAAGAGTTAAGGTGTTACAAACTCAAGTAAGACATAGTTCTCCATCCCAACTTTTCTTTATTCCTTAAGAGTATTTGTATCTTCAGCTCATAAGTCTACCCTTGCTTCCTGGTGATGAATGTGCATAAATTAGCAGTCAGCCCTGGATCTGTTCTGTACAGACAGTCTTGTTGTGGGATGTCCTGTATGTTGTGAATATATGTTGCTATGACCGATTGATAAATAAAACACTGATTGGCCAGTAGCCAGGCAGGAAGTATAAAATAGGCGGGACAGAGAAGAGAGGCTGGGAGGTGGGAGCTGGAGGAGATGCCAGCCTGCCATCCAGGGAGCAGCATGTAAAGACAACAGGTAAAGCCAAGGAACATGTGGCAACATTTAGATTAACAGAAATGGGCTGAGTTTAAGTGTAAAAACTAGACAATGGTGGCATGAGCTAATGGCTGAGCAGTTTAAATAACATAAGCATCTGTGTGTTTATTTTACAAGTGGGCTATGGGACTGCCTGGGCTTGGTGAGACCCAGAAAGAAACTCTTTAGCTTTACAGTCTAGGAGACACTGGAGTAGAGGGCTACTAATCTTCTCTACCAGATGGTACTATTCAAGAGCCACTTTTAAAGGTATCGGATGTTCATGGTAAGAAGATTTTTAAGGCTCAAGTCTGTCTCACCATACTGTTTTGCAGTAGACCTCTGAGTTTTCTTGGCCCACTTGGCACATGTATCAAGTTGTGTGACACAATAACATATCATTGGTTTTGCCCTTAAAAATGTGGTAAGTCAATTCTGATAGTCTAGAAGGGCTTTTCACTCCAGTCAAGATTTGCTTACCTGAATCTTAGTAGCAATAAGGACACCACCAGAGTATGATAATAATCCCAAGAGTGTCCAGGTCTCAGGCTACATCATCATGTTATTCATGATGTGGATAATACCTTTCTATGATGAGGTCATGGTTAGCTGCTTGTCACAGTCATCCTGCAATATCATCCACTACCTCTTTTATGAGGCTGTGGAGACTGTAGCTATGCATGTATGCATGGAGGCCTGAGTTCAGCACTGGTGTAGCTGCTCAGGAGCCATCCACCTTGGTTTTTTTTGACTTATGGTTTCAAACTGGAACCTAGGCTTGTAAATAGAGGAGGCTGTGTCAGCCATCCCTTCACAATTTCTACAAGGCAAGAGAGCAACAAAGACTCTGGAACATTCAAGAGTTTGCCTCTGGGCTCTTAGTTCTCTTGCCTGCCTGCCAAAGCACAGTGTCAGCACATTAGGGATAGATAGATAGATAGATAGATAGATAGATAGATAGATAGATAGATAGATAGAAGAGAATGCCTTATTCCAATATACTTCATTGTAGTGGATAGCCATTCCAGCTTTGACCTGGAAGTTCCAACCCCCATTGAGGCTTCAGTAATGGTCACGCCTACAAGGCAGGCCTGAGAGAGGACGCTGAAGACCCAAGATCCAGATGCGTGGGCTGTCTTGGTTCCTGGACCCTGGATATTGGAGGTAGACCAAGCAGAGTTCTCCAGAGAACACTGCTGGACTGTACTACACTTTTCCCAGGCCCTGTGAACTATCCCTTCACTTGTAAGTTACCCCACAAAATAGACCTCCCTTATAACTACTTGGAGTGGCCATAATAATTTCACCAATTTCTGGTGCCCAACGTGGTGTGCCATTTGTAACTAGAGTTTTTCTCTCTGGGTCCCGCCAAGCCCCAGCAGTCCCTTAGCCCACTTATAAAATAAACATACAGACACATATTATTTAAACTGCTAGGCCATTAGCTCAGGCCTACCATTGTCTAGATCTTACTCTTATACTCAGCCCATTTCTGTTAATCTATATGTTCCCATGTGTTCCGTGGCTTTACCTGCTGCCTCTACATGATGCTCCCTAGACAGCAGGCTGGTGTCCCCTCCTCTCCACCTTTCTGTTCTCTCAATTCTCTTCTCTGCTTGTCCCACCTATATTTCCTGCCTGGCTACTGGCCAATCAGTGTTTTATTTATCAATCAATCATCCACAGAACTTCATTTTTTTTTCTTGAAATATACACCTGTGTTCATGGCAAATGAATACATACTATATTAATAAGTTGTCTGAATTCATTCTGCCTCAAGCTCAGAGGTGATACAGAAATTATACCCAATGATGCAGTGAGATATAAGACTGAACTCTTACTTTCAAGGGCTTACTTCATGTCTATTAATGTCAGTAGAGAAAAAAAAGTGGAGAAGATTCCTGTGGGTTTAAAAAGCATAAAAGTTAAACTCCTAATCTAAAGCTCATTTAAACCCCTATCCCTTAATGAACATCTAATTCAGAAATACAACACAGCCCTGTTGTCAAGACTACACATCTGTGATCCACATCACAACAGGGCATCTAGCTTGCTTGGAGGAAAACTGAAAGCTCCTGCTGTATCCATTCTGCTCTGGAAATCTTTCATGGGCATTTGGAGGACATTGAGCCTACTATCCTAGCTGACACAGATTGCCATCTACATTTCAGGTCTCTGCAAAATGCTGACAAACAAGGCTACAAAATGTGAAGACATATAATACACATATGCACGTAGCATATTAATTTACCTACATTGATGTATCATCTTTATTACTGACAGTGGTAAGTATTGTACAGTGAAAGCCCTAGTGTATTAGATAAAGAGTTTGAAATTTATAAGAAATACACTTTTAATTTAAGAGCAAATCTAATAGAAAAGCAGAGATCTAAAATAGAACCAGTAGCACATATATATGGTTATATATATGACTTATTAAGAGATTTGGGTTTGTATGATTATGGAAACAGAAGATCCACAATGTGCTCTGAGAAAGCACGAGATGCAGGGAACTATGATCCAGCTCAAATTGGCAGCTAGCAAACTAATGGACACTTATTTCTGTGTTTTGTGCCCTCATATTTTGAATATATCAGGTGGTGACCACTCGCATTGTGAAAAGCTTCCTGTTTTACTGAGTCAGGTGATCTAAATGCTATCTCATTCAAGATACTCTCTCTTAATAAACAAAGCCACCCAGAAACAAGCAGATACCAGAGTTTCAGGCAAGCAGATGCACAAACTAGTCATCACATAAGCACACAAAACATGGAAATATTTAAATATGAAAGGGGTCATCCAAATACCTACATGAAGTTCTTTCCTGTGACAGTTCCTGACTTTAAACTTATTAAAGTGGTAAAGTAACAATATCCTTTCTAAGAATTAGTTGATAATGTTACTTTGTTTGTTCTCTTCTTCATAAAAGAATAGCCAGATAGTACCATTGTGGGTCCAGTTATTCTAATTGAATAGGAGCTTATTAGTAACGTCAGAAGATTTCCTATGTCTTGGCCTCCTGGCAGTCAGGACAAATATCTACCACTCATGTCCCCCAAGAAAACACACAGAAGCTTATATCAATTATAACTGCCCCTGCCAGTAGCTCAGGCTTATTATTGACTAGCTCTTACATTTAAATTAACCCATAATTATTATCTATGTTTAACCACATGCCTTGGTACTTTTTCTCAGTTCTGCCTTGTCATCTTGCCTTCTCTGTGTCTAGCTGGTGACTCCTGACTCCACTCTTCTTCTTCTCAGCATTCCTTTAGTCTTCTCACCCCACCTATACTTCCTGCCTTGCTACTGGCCAATTAGCATTTTATTAAACCAGTATACAAAAGCATTATCCCACAGCATTTACCCTTTTCTGTCTAAACAAAAAGGAAGGTTTTAACTTTAACATAGTAAAGTTACATATAATAGAACAGTTATCAAACAAGAATTACAGTTACAATATCTAGTCTATTTATATTTGGCAAATTTAAAGAAAATATTCTATCATCTATCTTATATTTGTGAGTCTGAAGTTTCATATTTAACTTATCTTTATCATAACCAAGGAAAATTATAGCTATCTAGTTTTCAACTATATCAAAGACCCAAGAAGGATGTAATATTGCCTAAGTAAACAGGAAATGCATTGTAAGCAACTTACAAAAATCTAGAATGACAGAGACAGCTGGCTACCTGGACAGTCATCCAAAGTTCCTCTGCAATGTTGGGGACTCCTTCTTCAGTCTATAGGCCTAGAGTCTCTCAGTCGCTTCTCTCTATGTCCTGTAGAATGTCTGGCAGTTTCTTCTATGAAGCAGGAATCTGAAGGACCATCTTGCCTTGCAAAGTTTAGTGATCACCTTCCCATGGGTCCTGCATATCTAGTTTATATAACATCCTGTCAAACAGTCCAGACAAGAACAGTTTCTTGTCCAATGGCCATTTTGTGCCAAGAAGATAAACTCCATATAGAATTTGTTTGACACCAATCTTCCTCTTTGAAGTAAATGGGTGCTGCCAGGAGCAGATGTGTTTCACTGTCCAGGAAAGTCTGAGTTTTTAAAACATTTAAAATGCCATATTCAGTAGGTCTTTGAAGTGTTTGAAGATCACCTACCTAATTTAAATATATCTATGTATATCTAGAAAACTAACATGACTATAAGTTTGATTATCATAGATGACTATTAATGTGTATTTCTCAGCTATACACTACAATTTCAAATGAGTTACACAAACAAAATACTTTAAACAAGAATAGAAATATACATACAGTATCACAAAATTAACTTTAAATTTGTATCAATAAACTAAAATCCATAGCAATGTTAAACATTTTTAAACAAGTTGTTGCTCTTTAAAAGTAGGTTCAATAATCTACCCTTTCATCCTATCATATCTATACTATCTCCTTTTCTTCTTGGGCACCAAAATATAGTTAGAAGATTTTCTGTGTCCCAGATGGCTGACAGTCAGGACAAATCTCTCCCACTCATGTTCCCCTAGTAAACACACAGAGGCTTATATCAATTATAACTTCTCCTCCATTAGCTCAGTCTTATTACTGACTAGCTCTTACACTTAAAATTAACCCATAATTATTATCTATGTTTAGTCACATGCCTTGGTACCTTTTCTCAGTTCTGCCTTATCATCTTGCTTCCTCTGTATCTGGCTGGTGACTCCTGACTCCTCTCTTCTTTTTCCCAGCATTCTTTTAGTCTGCTCACCCCACCTATACTTCCTGCCTGGCTACTGGCCAATCAGTGTTTTATTAAATCAGTGTACAAAGGTATTATCCCACAGTATATTAGAATATAATAAATCATCTGTTAGCAATCATATCTGTCCCACACATTCTGTGATGTGAGCTTTGTCATCCTGTTGCCCAAATGAAAACAAACAACTGTTGTTCATGTTTTCTCTCTGGACCCATTTATTTTCCTTGTTAACTTTGTTGAGTCTCCTTATATTTCTTTATAAGAGAAAGAAAAAGGAGGGAAGTGTGAATTATAGACACTGTTTTATAGAGTAAATATGTGTGCTATGTACATTTGCATATATGCATGTATAAGAACCTTTTAAACTTCACTATTTAATCCCCTCTCCTAACATTTTCCTTGTTTTAATGTACTAGGAGGCATTTGTGTGGCTGTGGAAAGCCTCTTTCTAACTCATTAGCACCAATTAAGCTGGACACTACATAACATACTAGACTTATCTAGTATGGTTCCACAGAGAATGGTTCCAGTGTCTGATAGATGGACAGGAAGCCAGACACTGCCAGCAATGCCTGAAAAGTGGATCTTGAGCTGACACTATATTGCAGAGCATGAAAAGGAGAGAAATCATAGCACTTGGCAAGACTGAGTTGGGTGGAGGTACATGCCCCCCCTCCCCCGCCCCCTGACAACAACACTACAAAGAAAACAGTGTTCTTCAGAGATTCTTGGATGCTCACTCAAAGGCATACTGCTGTGCAGCTATTTTGTAGCAGCAGAGAGATGGGGAGTGATTATGTTCAGAAGTACCCAGAGGCTGCCTAGGCTCTCAACCTGGCTGCATCTCTTTGGGAAGAGTGATTAACCTGCCCCATGAAGGGTCTTGCAATAGAAAGAAGGACAGATGACAAAAAAAAGAAAACAAAACAAAACAAAAAAAAAAAACAAAAAAAAACCCAAAAAACAAAAAAAAAAAAAAACCAAGTCAGGCAAAAGGAAAGTGGAAAAAAAAAAAGAGGAAAACTCATTCTCATTTATTATTTGATTATACAAATCATTTTTAAGTATCTAGATTATACAAAGCACCTCTCTAGACTAAAAGACACAAGAGTCCTTTGCGCTCAATACCCATTCTATGTGATGCAGTGTCTGAGAGAGAAAATGACAAATTATTAGTGGAAAAAATGAATGTGGTATGTTAGTACCAGGGTACGGAAATGGTGTGGCGTGTTAGAGAGTACTGGAGAAGGAAATGAAGGAGGTGATACATTAGAGACTGCCAGGTCCAACAGAGTTAAATGGAGTAGGATGGAGGGAATAATCAGGAAAAGGGAGTTCAAGGGCACCTTTAGCTTCTTTTGGCCCTTTTATTTTTTTCTCTATCTCTTTTTTAGGTATGTTTTTTTAAGTAAGAAAAAATTTTCATTCATTTTACACACCAAAGATCCCCTCTTCCTTCCTCCCGCCCCTCCCCCAGCCTCCCCTCCCAACCCACTCCTACTCCCTCCCACAAGAAGGCAAGGCCTCCCATGGGGAAGCACATTCAGCAGAGGCAAGTCCAAGCCCTTCTCCCTACCCCAAGGCTGCAGGAGGTGTCCCATCATAGGCAGTGGACTCCACAAAGCCCTCCCATGCACCAGAGATGGATTCTAATCCTATGGCCAGAATAATCAGTTGACATTTATATTAGATCACAGTCATTAAAGCACTAAAGAATCATGCTATTTCAGTTAGTCCTTGAAGCAAAATAGGTGCTACCAGTCATTTTATAGATCAGGAAAATAAATAACAGAGAGATGCAGTAGATGGAATAGGTTACAGTAAATAAAGAGTAGGTTCAATATTTAAACCATGAAGGAAGCAAAAAAGGTCTATTCCCCAAGCTCTAGAGCAATAAACTCCTTCAGTTATCTGTACCAAGGGTCAGAATAACCAACAAGACATTGTAGTCTTGAGGAAAGAGCCACAGACATTTAGGGCACTACTATCTGAACTATTTCTCAAGACACATATGACTGTTGTGATTGTAGGTTCGCCACTAAATAGTTGGCACATAATATATGCTCAGTTACTTTGTTTCCTAAGGGCATCTGGTTATCCCACATATGTCCGTAGCTGGCATTTGCTCTTTTATAAGGATTCTTGTGTCCCTGAGTGGATGAGTCATTGTTAGGATTTAGGAACCACTGAGTTGATATTTTATCAATTCTCTGATAACAAACTTATACTATTTCTGAAATGTCCTTTTATTTCTTTTCAGGTGCAAAGTTCATAAAAAATAATCAAGCTAAATAAATACGAAGACCACAGCATTGATCAGTGATTTTTAACTGGAGATTTACATCCTCATAATTCTTTACTGCATTTAAGTTTTTTTTTTTGTTAGGCTATAACATGTCTGCTTTTAGTTAATAAATATGCAAAGATACTAAGAGAAAAACTAATTAGTAAAAAAACAAAAATATGAAATCTTTAAAGTTTTTTCCTACACTAAAACCAGAAACTTGAAGAGTCATAGACTGTGACATTCTGACTTCCTGTTTTAGGCAAACTTTGGCTTTGGAAGAGTTATCAGACAGCAACATGGGAAATCTGCACATTTATTTGATTATAAATGTTACAATTACTTTAGGAGGTAATTCAGAGGATATTGTTAATTTGCAAAATTATTTGATTGCACACATTAGTTTTCAAACTATTTAAATTCCAGACTTCCTAAATGCAATCATGCATGATTGAACATGACTTTCTTGGGCTTGATTTGCCCAGGATGTTTGTTTTGTTTTCCCAAAAGCAAAGAGTCAAAATCTAGCCCTCTTACATTTTTTTTTCCAGTAAATGTTAGTGAAGATCCAAAGATCAGCATAGACTTGGACAACTATTAAAGCTCCACTTGGGGAAAGAAACTTTAAAGGTTTATTTAAACCACGAGCCTACTCACAAGTCTAGACCCACACAGGCTCATGAAATTACTTTACTCATGTGAGATGAAGCATAAGAAAGGTAGTGGCATTTAGATAGTTGGCCTCATGTAGAAAATATCTGGATAAGTGATTTATTGAGAAGGTGATGCTGTATCATTGGACATAAAGTACAATCCTTGCAGCTTGGTTTGAAGAGTGTCCTTGGAGTTTTTAAAGAGAGATTCCTCATGAGAAGAAATCTCATTAAACTTTCAGTGTGACCTATTTTAGGCTTGACTGGAAAGCACATAACATCTCCTTTTAAAACCGGGAAGTAGAGCAAGTTAGTATCCTGGTAAATTGACAGTTTATAGACACAGTCCATAATTGGCCTCAGGAATGTTAGAATCTCTCCATTTACCATATTTGAGTACAAACACACTGGCACATGAGATGAGTTAAGAGGACTCATGGTGGTTACATTCTACATGTATTTGTGATTATATTTATATATACAATGTTATTTTATTCTATTTGCTCCTGAAGATGGATCCAAGATGCTTGTCTGTCCAATTTCTTGTGCATACTTCATTTGACTTAATATTGATTCTAGGCTATATGGACTTGTTTTTAGTGATGCTGCTATATAAATCAGGGAGAACCATCTTTATCCATGATTTACATTGAGCAGGACTTGGGAGCATAAGAAGTCTAAGAGCAGGACATTCTATCCACTTCAATGATAGTAGCTATTGACATCATAGAACATATATCTGTATTTGACTGAGTCTCATCATATTCTATTGAGAAGCCATATGAAAGATTGACTTTGTTATCCAAAACAGATATATCTAATTTCATTTAAAATACATGAATACTTTTTATATCATTAAGAATTAACAGTGGAAAACTTTTGGTTGTTTCAGTAGACACATGCATACACACACACATACACACACACACACACACACACACACACACACATCCCTAATTATACTCTGAAAGTAAGTGTATTAGATCTCTGAGGAAAAAATGTATATGTTTGTACATAGTCATTCTATTTTTCTAGCCAATTGGCTAGAATCAATCAATTTAATAAAATTCTGTGTGTTTATATTGGCTTACCTATATCTTATTTAATTTTTACAGTTTCATGCATGTATACAATGTGTTTTGTGCATACTCACATCCCACTCCTTCATTACCCTCTTGTGTCCCTTCCTATGTCTAAAAAGCTTATTTTTCTTTCCATTTATTCTTTCTTTGTCTTTCATATCACATTTTTTGTCTTGTGTAAGTAGATGTAAGAGTTATTTGTTCAGGATTCAATTGTCCCTGTCCTATCCGAAGGACAGTGTTTCACAGAACTCCTCTGCACTGGCCAGCTCTTAACAATCTTTTTATCTCATTTTCTTTGATGTTCCCTGGTCTTTGAAAGGGGTTGTGTGGATGTCTTTTTTAGGGCTGAACACTCACTCGTCATTCATTTTCAGTGAATATTTACCATCAGCTGCTGAAAAATATAGTTTCATGGCCAAGGAGGAGAATGATGATAGTCTAAGAATATAATTGTAAATATTTAGAAAACAGATTGGCTATGTATATTCTCAGCTTAACAATATTGTTAGGCCCTACTGTGACATCTTCAGCTATAGGCTTTCTTCCAGGTTTAGAATACAAGGCACATACTGCTGCTTGTCAAGTAGGCCTCAAATTTAATTAGAAAGTAGTTGGTTACCCACAAAACAACTGTACCATTGTTGTACCAGTGGGTTGCATCTTAGCTAACATGCCATTATTATAGTAATCATGATCCATAGCTGGGCAAATCTGATTATGTTTTTTTCTTCTCCAACAGCCTCTATAGAACCTTATGTCACTCTGAGTACTAACCAATAGAATAGAGTGTCTCGAAAAACCGGAAAAAAAAAAAAGAATAGAGGATTATAGCATAGCTCTGGCTTGGTTCATCTGTGTGCTACATGCTATATCCCATGTGTGTGGTGGTGTCTTCAGCAATAGGATTTTTACCGTGTACTGTAGCTGCTAGTTTCTCTGATCCTGCCTGGCCCCATGGTCCAGACGAATCTTTCCCACCATGGTCCTGCAGCCGGTTATAAAATAATCACTCAGAGGCTTAATATTAATTACAAACTGTATGGCCTATGGCTCAAGCTTCTTGCTAGCTAGCTCTTATAACTTAACTCAACCCATTATTAATCTATGTATTTCCCCATGTTCCATGACTTTACCTGTATCCCATTACATGTTACTCCTTGGATGGCTTGAAAGGTGGGCTTGTGTCTTCCCCAACTCTGTTCTTCTTCTTTCTGTATCTTTTCTTGGATTTCTCACCTGCCTCTAAGCTGCCTTGCCATAGGCCAAAGATGGCTTATTTATTAGCCAATGGGAGCAACACATATGTTCACTGCGTACAGAAAGACATCCCACAGCAATGTAGTCCTGGTGGGTGACCAAGAACAGTGGCAATTTATGTCTACTTTACCAAGTATATTAACTATGCTCATCTCACCTTACCTGTTGGACTGAGGCTTCAGATTCTTATATAAATTTATTAGTCTCAAAGTCCACTGTTGGTTTTCTTGAAGTAGGAAAAGATATTTTAAGAACATGATATCTTGTTTCTGTAGTTGGTTTAATAATTTTTTCTTGTTGTACTGTTTAGTTTTTATTTTTTAGAGACTAGGTTCAATGCAACCCAGACTGTTCTTGAATTTTTTATACAGATGAGGATGGCCTTGAACTTTTGATTCCCCCACCTTTACCTTCTGAGTGCTAGGGTTATAGGTATGTGCTATGATGACTGATCTATATTGTTTAAAATATACTAACCCATCATCAGTGACTTATCTCCCTCTCTCCTTCTCTGTATTTACCTGTGGCAAGATCTTAGTGGTCCATTGAACAACATAGTAAGAGATTAAATAGAGACTCTGTTTTTATTGGTTTGAGTCTGCCAACTACTTCTTAAACTTGCATGATGCTTTTATGTACTGTCTAAAGAATCTTACAAAACAAAAGTAATTTGTAACAAATTAGCATTTTTAACATGTAGTTATGCTTCATATTAAAGTATAGAAAATCAATTTATATTATTATGTAAGGCAATGTCCTTTCAACACTGTTTATTCAGCCATCTGGTTTTAGCCCACAATGAAAACAAATATATTTATTTTTTGTGCTAGCGCTTGATCATTCAGAAAATTGTCTCTAGCCTTGTGTTAGGGGATATGAGACTGGCATGTGAGATAAAGATAGTAAACATAAAATAGCCCAGTGCATATTAAAGTGGCCATAAAAATCAAAGTATTTCATAATCAAATAAAGTTTTAATGAATGGAAATATACAACTGATTGCCTTATCATACAAAAGCAGAAAAGCACTTGTCCTGTTGAGCTCTAATTGAGAGGCCAGATGGAAACCGGCAGTCAGACTGTCATTCCTGGAACATGAGAACCACATGAGACACTGGGTAATAGGTACAGATTTCTATTTGCATATAGTTAGAATAGCACTTAACAGCAAGAACAAATTTCCCAATCCAAGCATCCCCCAGCAAGTGGATATTCCTTTGGTAGACAACTGATAACCGTTCTCTTTTAATAGGCATTGTCCAGTTGTTATGAATGATTCTAATTATTTTAGTGCATAGAAAGAATGTGAATCTCAATACATAAATTATATGAAGAAACTACACACATTAAATAATTTTCCTCATGTTTTTATTAAAATGCATAGGCAAGCTAGATATATTTGTGTTAATTCATTATAGTAACAAAAGAAATTGTATAGCATATCTAATAAAACTACTTTTAAACATTCATTGCGGTTTCCAATGCCTTTCTATCAAGCTTTGTCTAACCTATTCCTGACTTTCACTACATATGAAGATCTCTTTAATACATCTCTAACCCTCACTACAACTGAGGATGAATTATTATCTCCATCTACCCATTATCAGCAGGCCAAAACATAAGCTAGGGATTCTCACTTTAAAATAAGAATTGTCTTCCACTAAAGTTGTAGGATTCATTTTCCCCCAGAGACACTCTATATTTTTCCATTTTATCTGAATGTGTCAATTAATGCTATATAGGGAAATAACATTTGCTCAAAAACCAAAATTCAAATACTATGGTCACCTATGAACACCTATACTTTAAAGTATAAATTCTTAGCAAGATAAACCATATACTTGGCCGTAAAAGTGTCAATATATTAAAAAAATGATTGTCATGTAACCACAAAACTGTGTTTTGTGACTGTAATGAAATTAAATTAGAAACCAATATCAGAAACAATAACAAAAACCCCTAAATATCATCTAGCATTGGGCAATCAAATAATGCCCATTAAGTAACTAATGGAGCAAAGAAAAAATTTCACAGTATTTATGAATTTCAAGTAGATGAAAATAAAATAAGGCATGCCTTCATTTGTTGGATGTAGTTAATGTAATATTTCTA